ATTTAAAGAAGATTTGAGGATGAGTATAAGCGATCAGTTTTGGTCTCTTGGAGACCGGTCGAAACAATGGTCATTTATCATAGATCACGTAAGCCAAATTGCAAAGAAATCCACATTTACAAGAGGTGTCAATAGAAAGTCGTACACTTTTTTGTATAGTTTGCCATATTCACAAGATAAAGATATGAAGAAAGTAGTTATTTGCAAAAAGATGTTTTTAAATACTTTAAATTGTGGGGAAAAAATGGTGCGAACCGCAATTTATAATTGCAACAAGAATAAAACTTTGGTAGATAGAAGAAATAAAAATGAATAAATTTACGTTTTATAATATTTCTTATTGTTACAAATTGCTTTAGTTTTAATTTTAAACAAACAAACATGATTGAAACGAAATTTTTTAATTCTATTTTTAGTTCCTATATTTTATTTATTTTGGTCATAATTTCATTCCAACAAATTCATATTAACATTACAAAATTGTCGTCATTTAATTAAAAATATTTCATGGCAATTTTTTACAACATAAAGCAAAGTATTAAAGTTTTTGCCATCGCCGATACCATAGTAATAAATCGAGAATTCGTTATATCAATTGAATTGTTGAGTAGATATTGTATTTTGTTTAACAAACCGCTTGGCTGATTTATCATTGTGCAGACCGAAACCCTGGACCTTCAGGGCTTAAATTTTGACAGTCTTTTTCTAGAATGACAACGAGTACCCACCGGATTATTTTTTTTAATTTTATGATAAAAGAGTTTTTTTGTTTGTATGGATCTTTTTGTGGTGCTTATTAATAAAGCTTTAAATAAAAGATAAGATATTTTTTATTCCCACCAATTTACTTGCTCTCCATTCGGTACTGTTGTATTTTTTAATTAATTATTTACCTCGATATTGGAATATATTTTTAGAAATCGTTATGACGACATCACAACAAGGAAAGCCTATTATTCAAATTGGAAGTTACCGTTTTTATAGACACAGCAGCTATAAGCGTAACAATGGTAGATGCCTGTGGGTGTGCGGCAGATCTAACATGGGGTGTAGAGCGTCTCTCAAATCTGTTGATAATGAAATCATTAGATGCAATAATGTTCATAATCATTAATTTTAATTTAATTTATCTATATATGTACAATATGCTTATAATTTAATCTATTATAATTATTTTTATCCTTTAACAGAAAAGTTCGATCTTATATTGACTCTCATCTGTCATTCGCTTTTAAATATCTAAAGTAAAGTAACAAAAAATATATAACAATTGTAAATCCTAACAATAAAAAGTATATTGGAATATATATTGGAATTGGTTTTATTTGTGCTAAAGGTTCAATGTGTGTACTTGTACATAACAATAAAGGGCTCAAATATATGGGTCACGGATATTTTGTAACGTCGACATTGAGATTATTTTAAATTAAATATAATAAATTGGTTTGATACAAGTAAAAAAGGCTGAAATACATAATGCTGATTAGAATTCATAAAAAATATTGGATCTAATAATATGTATAATAAAATCATTGAATTTGTATACCAACGAAGCAAAATATTTATGAACGTTTATAAATGATATCAATATTAATTTAATACTAAATTACATCCATTTACAATATTTATAATTATTTTACGAAACCTTTTTCTAGCGATCGTTCTGACGGAATCCAGGCAAGGGAAACCGATTATCGAAATTGGAAAGCATCGTTTCTACCGTCACAGTAGTTATAAGAGAAACAATGGTAGGTGCCTGTGGGTGTGCAGCAAAACCTACATGGGATGCAGGGCGTCCCTCAACTGCGTAGATAATAGGATCATAAGGATTAATAATATTCATAATCATTAAATATATTTAATAAACAGTTAATTTTTAAAAATATTAAAATATATCCTATTTATGTTTAAATTATTGTTAAGTCTTTAAAAGTTTATCTAAAAATTTACAGATAACATTCCTTACGTTATTGTAAAAAAAATATTTTTTTAATTTGACCCGATCATCGTCAGTTGTCACTCAATTATTTTAAAAAATGTGTGACGAAAGTTTAAATTATAGATGTTAAAATAAATATTTTAAACATGACATGTTTGTTAGAGTAATTGTCGAACAATACTATATTGTTTGTAAATTTTAGTGTATAAAGTTATTTAATTATAATAATAATTTAAATTACAGAATACTGGTTTTATTATATTATTATTTACCTATTATAATTGTTTGAATTTAGTCTTATTATTTTAATAGTTTTTAAGGATTAATAAATAAAACAGGGGTAGGTAAGTTGTTTCCTTCATGTTCTAGCATGATAGTTTTGTAACTTAAGGTTACAATTGGTACCGTTTAAAAACTGTAACGTCTATAATAGGGTATTTGAAGCGAAGTTTAAAAAATGTATGTAGAGAGAGAGATAGAGAGTAAAATATAGAGTTTGAAGTACCTACTTGTTGACACATAAATATATACCTAAATATATTAGTGATAATTATATAGTTATGAAGGTTTGGTATGTATCTATTGTTAAGTTTGCTTTCCAGCTTTCCATTTTTAAAACGCTACATCACAAAAAATATCTATTTATCAATAGTCGTGTCGCACATTGGCTCAGAAGGCCAATATCAATGAAGTTGAAGAATAACAAGAAAGCCAATAAAAATGTTCCAAACAGCTAATAACATTAAATCACATCAAAATCAAAACTATATTTTCTTTAAAAACTTTGTAGTTCCTTAAATTTAAAATAGTTTACATACGGATAACCGTCTTTTAGTCATAATAAAAATATTTGTTTTTTCTAGGTCCGATATATTCTATTTCGCTTAGAGGAAACCCGGTCATTCAGCTGGGTAAATACCGCTACAATCGGCATTCATCGTACAAAGGGAAAAAAGTCATGTGGCCATGTGTGAAATGGGCCTCCAGCAACTGTCGAGCATCCTTGCTCACGTTTGATAATGAAATTGTCAATATCAAAAATAAGCATAACCACTAAATATAATATATGAAAGTCTTTAGATTGTTTGACCAATAAAGAATTTAGTTGAAAAGGATAAAACACTTTTTATTTGTATTTCATGTTCAAAAAAAATTTTACTAGCTTTTTTTTAGTAAACTTGTACAATTTTGGTAATCTGCGTCAGTCACACGTCTTTTTAACTTGTAGGTTCTATAAATATGTTGAAATTCTCAAAAAAGAGAACGCGGGAAGAAAAATTGGCTCAAGCACGGTTGCGTAGGCGACAGAAGTACGCTGAATTAAAAAAAGACCCAGAAAAGTATGCAGCTGAAAAAGAAAGAGAAAGACTTAGATATATAAAGCGAAAAAATCAAAATAAAATAAAAAATATTAAAAATTTATCTTCGAAGGAACAGCGCTTACAAAGAAAGAAATGGAGAGAGAGTCGAAAACGCTATATAAATAAAAAGAAAAAAGATATGTCTACATTCGAAATGTTTCTAAACAATTCTCTTTCAAGCAGCGATGAGGATTAAACCAACATAAATCCTTCAGAAAGATCATTGACATAATTCTTTGAAGGAAATGGGCAACCTCAAAGTGTAAATATTAAAGCAACAACATGCATTGTGCTTATTTATTAAAAAAATATGAATATATTGGTATTTATATACACAATATAGAAAAAGCAAGAAAATATGTTAAAAAATTACAGAAAAAGAAGACAGAAGTGGCAGTAGCAAATAGCTTTAAATACAGTAGAACGAGAAATATGTCAAGTAGTAAATCTTACGTCAGAATAAATAGACTTTGATTTTATTACTAGGAAATAAGATAGCAAGATAAAAGAGGCGAAAAATAGTTGATGTTTGAGTAATAACAAAACCAATTAAAGCAGGTTCGAAAGCATTACCGAAGAGCGATAACGTGATGATTTATGATATTTTACAGAAGAAAACTCCAAAGAACATACAGTTCTAAATTAACATTAATTCACATAATTCACTGGAGAAGTAAAACCCAAGGGCTTAAAATATATAAATAAGAAGTAAATTAGTATATATGTAGAAAATGACAAGAAAAAAGTGAAAATTATGTTATTTTAATGAGTCAATAAATACATATAATATAGAGTATAAATTGATTATTAAGAAAGTATATAATATATCTTAGTTATTATATTATTTTTTTCTTTATAAAGTACCTAAAATTAAAAAAAATATGCCAAATTAGAATATGTGTAAATACTGTGTAAATATTAGTCTTATCTGAGTTTTATTTTTTAAAATGGGTGGAGTTACCTAACAATTAAAAAACCAATTACAGTATAAAACAGTTGCGATTAGCTTTTCTGGTTGAGTACGATTCTAATAATTAAAATAGTGATTCAATAGTCTGAAATTCCTCTTAATTTCTTTAAATTGGATCGATATCAGAGAATCTGTCGAGCTCTACTGATTATTATGTATTATACCAAGAATAAACCAATATATTACATAAACCATAAGAAACACTTTTACAGCTAATTTTAGCTTTAAGCCATTGATATACAGGGTGTCCAGTAAGTAATGGATAACCCTGCAGGTACTAGTGAGCGGCATCTCGACCACTCAGAAAAAAGTAAAATAAAAAAATTATCTGCAGCAGTCTGGAAAAAAATCTCCGTTCACATTATTGAGTATTATGGCTACAAATTTATTAATCACCAATTAATTTTCTCTGGAAATAACCGTGAATGTTTGGTTTTGCCATTGCGCATTACAAAATGTTTGTAGCTGTAACTGTTATTTATTTTTAAATACTTAAAAAAGTATATTGAATTTTACAATGACGAAGTTTGAGCACCTGTGGTATAAAGAAAACATATGGTGACTTCATGCAAATTCTAAAACGGTAGTAAACTCAATTTTTTTGGTTGTCAAATGACTGAATTATTCTAATTTACATTCCGGAAGGATGATTTTCACAAAGTTTAATATTCATTAAAGATACAAAAATCACTTGTAATAAATTATATTTCGAGTTACTAATTGTGTTCAAATGTTGACGGGGCGTTCGGAAAGGGACGGACGGGTCTCATGCTCAGGTAGCTGACCATGAATAGTTTACTATCTGGTGCGTGTGCCCACGATCAGCGGGTTTCTTATTGTTAAGAGAAATAAACTATAGAGTAAGGGAGTAGCAATAGATGTAAAGAAAGCTTCCATAAGTTTCTTGGTTTTTTTAGTCCGTGTTTCGATATTCTCGATATCAGATGTGCTTATTTTGAATTCAAAATTCAAAATATTTTATTCAGCATTAAATTATTACAATTTTTTACTTAACGTCATGAGTCTACTACCAGTTCGGAAAGAAGAAGCCTCAGACATCATCTCAGAATCGTGGCTTATCTTCGATTTACGACATTCCTACTGGACTATTTATATTCTGCATTACGATTGAACTGTTTTTTTAATTCATAGCACAGTTTTAAACTTATATTCTGGCTAAAGCGTTAAAATTAATGGTTGAAAGCTTGTACAAAATTAGTTCTATTGGACTATCAAAACAATCGCCATTATTATGAAGCTTTTATATTTCACACTAGGTTGTACCTTATTTTAGTTATATAAAATAAAAGGAAAATTATTCTTTATATAGTTAATTTTGTAATGTTTATGTATTCTTTCAGAACCTGTCTTCGCCTTATCGAAGTTTGGAAAACCTGTCATTGTAATAGGACAGTATCGTTACAATAAGTACAGTCGTGCAAAAGGACCTAAAGCGCAATGGGTTTGTAGTAAATGGAGCAGAGGGTGCAGAGCGTCAGTGACGACTTATGAAGACGAAATCTTTAAAACTAATCCTAATCATAATCATTGATGATTAAAATAGTATCTCAGATTCGTTTTTATTTTTCTTTCCACTTTGAATTATGCACATGGCATCTGATTAACATTATCTAATGACAACCTTTTTTTTTAACGTTGGGAAATGCATTTACGTACGAGGTGTGGGACTCACCGGCGAAGCCAGTACTACCCACTAAAACCCAACAAAACCTTCCCCCGTCTTAATGGGGCGTCGCAGGATCGCTTACGCATTCAACTACGACGCCCCGACGGCAGGTCTGCCGAAGCAGACCATAACAACCACGGGGTTGCTCCAAAGTCCACTCTGCTATCAAAGAAGTACCAGGAGCAACCCGCATGGTACACCGCCCTCCAAAGAGGGCCACTTCCCGCCGCCCACCGAAGCGGGCCACCTCCCTGTGCGTTTCTTGGCTTCGCTCCCGGCTGGATTGCCGGGCACTACTGAGCCCCCCCACCACGACAAGGTGAACGCACGTTGGGGGGGATCTAATGACAACCTAACCTAACCTAATAATATTTTTTCTTATATTCATTAGGCAGTAAGTAACATATCAAAGTGAAAAATAAAAGAAGACTTATCGGACTTTCTTAAAGTTAACTAATAAGATTTAATATCTAAAAAAACTATGTTTTACTAATATCAAAACCCAACCTTTTTTAGAGCCAATATTCACAGTATCCAGATTTGGTAGACCAGTGATTATGATTGGGAAGTACAGATACAACCAGCGGACCGGTTGCAGGTGGCCCCGCCTGCTGTGGACGTGTTGCAAGAAGACCACGACCACATGTAAAGCTACTGTTACTACGATAGAACATACGGTTATCAAAGTAACAAATGAACATAATCATTTATGAAGTTTGACCTCTAGAATATAAACAAATCAGTTGGAGAAACGGGGATTTGCTTTACTCCCGTGTTTTTAGATATAGCTCTATTTTATTCGTTAGGCAATAAAATAAGCAGGCCTAAAAGCTATACATAAATTATATAATTGTGTTCAAAATTTGTAAAATAGCTGTTTTAAGTCTATTTATAGTATCTGCCTTTTGTAATTTTGTGTATCAAGTTCAAAATTACAACACAATTACAAACATCAATACTACGCTTATTTATATCTGTTACTTGTTTTATTTATTACCTTGACCAATCTTAAATTTGTTCAATTTTATTAAAGTTTTATTTTAGAACTTTGAATAATATGAGAAAGATATCATAATACATGTATGTATTTTTAAGAAATACTAATTTAGGAAAAAAATGCGCCAATGAATAGATTATCTAGAGCTTACAATGACCTCTACTTAAAAAGTAATGATTCATCTTGCATGACAGCCTCAAGATATTTAAAACAAAAATAATACGGTCTTATAATAAACATAATTTAATGACTCTATATGTAACTTTAATCATTCAATTATAATCATTCAATATAAATTTATTTGCACTATTTTTAATTTTATTCCAAGTATTTAATTCTAGTTTGGACGTGACATTACAACTGTTATTTTTTTTTATTATGAATTGTTAACTGTTTAAAATATCTTTATTTATATTATTTGCATCTATGTGACATGTTAATTGTAATTAAATTTTTTCTTTGTTATTAATTTGTGTTTATAGTTTTATCCGCATGATCACTTAAAGCTGTATTTACCTGTAACTAAAGGTGCGATTGAGTGAAAGGTAATATGGGTTAAACTATTGTAACTTTTGTTGGTAATTCATTAAATAAATAAATAGACCTCTTAAAACGAAATTGTGATTTTCCGTTAAAAGTTTTCATTAATTATTATATTTATCTCTGATATTATAATTGAGTTTTCTAAAACAAAAATCAATAGATGACAATTCATTGACTGAAAAATAACTTAGATTTTATTTTCATTGTGGAGGCGATGTGGCAAGTGCTTATGATTCTCTTCTCTTGAAATACTACTTATACACTATGTAATCTAAATTTACCAAAATAAGGTGTAGTTAAGGCCAGATCAAAGCGAACATACGAGTAGTGAATATGTTGTAAATACGTGCATTGTACTTGTAAATAATTTGTATATATTTTTCTTGCAGCACCTTCATTTGAACTATCAAAATACGGATTTCCATTGATCAGGATTGGCGAATATAGATTTAATCGAAAGAGTTCTTGTAAAGGACCAAGAGTGCAGTGGCGATGCTCGAAGTGGTCTAGGGGTTGCCGTTCCTCCATCATCACATATAAGGATGAGATCATTAGTATGAAGACAAATGTACATACGCATTGAAATAATTTGTAAATAATGTAGAAAATAATAAAATAAATAATATATAATACATAAAGGTGTATTACACGTTTTTATTATTTTTTATTATTACAGTTGAAATATTTTCTTTAAATTGTTAATACAAAATCATTTTCTTAAGAACAACTTGTAATATTTAGCTTTTTAAAAACTAGCTAGCCACCCTCGCTTCGGTGGAATTTGTAAGGTAGGTACCTTACCTTACCATAGGTACGTTTTAATGGTTAGTATGGAATATATAGACTATATATTATAAATATATATTATATTACTGCTCCGCTCTCTTGGGTAGAATTTTGTTTCGAAATGTCGAAAAATCGGATTAGTAGTTCCTGAGATAAGTGCGTACAAACAAACTCTGCCTCTTTACTATAGAAATAGATGATAGTCGTTTTTAAGGGAATTAATTTTGATCTTTGGTTAATTTTTTATCATATTTAATCTTTCAGAATACATAAACTTTCGTAGTTTACGTGGTTTTGAATTGAAGGACACCATATCTTGATTCGGAAAACCAGTGATACATATTAGAAAGAATCGTTACAATCAGCATTTTCTAAATTTTCTAAAACGTTTTGGAAGCGAAGCGAGGGTGAGCTGCTAGTTTTCTATATAAACAACTAAGTTATTTATCCATTGTATCTCTTAATATAATTCATTATTATTATATTATACTTATTATAATTAATTTTGATTTCATAATAAAATTGTTATTTTATAGCACAGATCAAAAAGCGAAAAAACTACTGTAGTGTGCGTGCAAATCTTGTGTTTTCCTAGTAATATGTAATATTTTATATCTTATGCGTATATTACAGGAAGTGATCCAGTATACACAATATCTAAATTTGGAAAACCTGTAATTCAAATAGGAGAATATAGATACAATCGTCGCAGTTCAAGTAAGGGTGCGCGTGCGCAGTGGCTCTGCACAAAATGGTCGCAGGGCTGTCGTGCCTCCGTCTTCACAGTGGCAGATGAAATTGTAATTTCCAGAAATGAACATACCCACTAATATATTTATTATATAACTGTGTGTGCAAGTAATGTGATATTTTTATTTTTTTAATTTATTTAATTTTTTTTATTTTGAGGTTTATTGTTTGGTTAGGCATTTTAAAATAAATTATAAGACAATTATTTATTTCATTCGTAATTCGACTTCGAATGTGTACAATATAGTAGATTCAATTGGCTGCACGAATTCTCTTTGCAATAATATACAAGTAATAAATATATGTAGATATTAAACAACAGAAAGACATTTGAAAGCTTGTGAAAAAAAAGAAGTCGAAAGTACATTTTTGTTGTAAATTTATTTTATTTTCTTTTAAAAATATTTTTTAGTACATTGAAAAAGAATGTTATTGTTTTGGATTTTATAATGTAGATGCTTTATGTACAAAAGTTTAATAAATAAAATAAAATTTGAAGCTGTGATAAGAATTAAATTATTATTTTTCGTGATAATACGACTTCAGTTCTTTTGACGGACTTTATAAAATATTTATCTAGTTTAGGAATAATTAGAAGCGTATGATGGAAACTACGATATTCGAAGAACGTAAAGGTTTACATGAAGACATGTTATAGCATACCTACTGGAAAAGCCTAGCTCTGAATAGCTTAACTATACAGACTTTATACTAAATAAAAAAAATGTAGTGTTAGACCTAAGATAAAGCGTTTTTTATAGTCATATCATCTCACATCGTATCACATCACATGTCCCGTGTGGATGTACCATATGATAGTTCTGCAATTCGGTCAAGTAATAAATTAAAATGGCTTTAGGCAGAGGTTATGATTGTATGTATCTACGTGTATGGTTGTATGTATGTTCCATCACCACGCTTTGGAGAGCAAATAGAGCCGTTCGCTCAGCGCCTGATCTCTTACTGGTCGTGACGAATTGTCGTCCCACTGCAATATGAGAGTTACAGGAATAAAGAACGCACTTGTCTGCGCTTGTGTGTGCAGTGTATTCATTATAATATCTCCTGCGCAGTTGGTTAGTCTCAGTGTGATTGGCCGCTATGGTCGAAATCGGTTAGGAGGATATTATTATCATGTGAAATAGTCTACGTTCATTTACTTTAAAATTGTACTTTGCCTGAATTTGAATTCCAATACGAGTATGATATTCCTGCTTTGTGCTTTGCAGATGCAATATTTTCAATAACTAATAAACATTACTAGTAAGGTCTACTATATGATTTGATGGAGGATTTCGATGTTTTTTTATATATTTTTTATAACCTGGAAACTTATAATAACAAAAAGAATTCAACCTAAAAAATATATATATTTTGCTAACATTTACTTTTCACTTTTCATTGACACACCCACTCGACTGTCCCAAGAGGGTAATAAATTCAAACCGCTTTTTCTTTTTATTTTAATATAGATATTTCAATATTTACTTATTATATATAAATTTATGAACGTATATATTTTTAGGTGCGACGTTTACATCAACGGTAAACGGTAGACCGGTACTTCAAATAGGATGTTACCGGTATTACAGAAACAATCGAAGTAGAGGAAGGAAGGCTACGTGGTTTTGCGCCAAAAATAGCAGTAAGCCTGGATGCAAGGCATCAGTTATAGTGGTCGATGGAACAATAGTGGATGTTAAAAATGAACATAATCACTAGTCAAGATATTTATTGTTTTTTGTATAAATATTTGTATTTATGATATATGTAATGTATATATAATAAACGTTTTACTATATTTGTTTTATAATTCATTGTACTTCATGAAAAATAAACTACTTTAGTCATGTGCAATTAAAAAACGTACAAAAATCAGTCATACGCTTAAGCTATTTACAGTGATAAGTTACTTTGGAAGATTAAACTCAATCTTGCTAACAAAAAATATTTTAGTTCACAGATTTACGACGACACGATTTGGCAAGCCAGCCATACAAGTTGGGAAGTACCGATTCAATAAGAACAATCGCAGTAGCGGTATTAGAGCTCTGTGGGTTTGCGGGAGAGTAAGTTCTGGTTGCCGAGCCACCATCACTACCATCAATGATATTATAGTGCGAGAGAAAACTGTTCATAACCATTAGCTAACGTTAATTTAAAGGCTAAGAAAAACAAATGAAATGGAACTATTTAGTTTATTTAAATTTTAAAAACAATATAAGGAAAAATTGTGTTTTTGTATTTATTTCTAATTTAAACATTGTATGTCGTAAATCAGACAGGAAAAAATAAACAATAATTCAGTACGGACGAAATAATCTTGGAAATTTAACTTATCAGGTAAAGTACTTCACATAAAGCTATCAATCGTTCGTAGTAAGACTGTGGAGTGTAGCTATTTTTTTAATGGCGCGTTTCCGTTCCTGATATCATTTGTTATCAATTTTACTACTGTTCAATAATGTCAGAGGAAACAAGTATTAATTAAAAAAATCCCGAACATGTTGGACCTATTTTCATCAAACATAGCTAAGAACACTCCCGACTAATTCACCTTTCAAACAAAA